GGCAACACACGAAAAAAGCAGTGGCAGTGTATGCATGTGGCGCGTGTATGCCTAGACTATACTGATATTTGTGTGTTGTGTCTCGTTTTTCGCTCATTTTGCGTACTGCTCTTCTCTTCGCAGCGAGAGACGATATACGAATCAACCAACGAACCGAATAGAAGAGATATTGAGAGACAAACGCAGTAAACTAAATTCAATCGCAACTCATGGGCGCGATCGCGCTCACGCACATTCCCATTCGTACTCGAACGTCGAATAAAGAAAATAACAACAACTTCAGCGACAAAGAGCTCAAAAGAACACAAAATGTGTGCATATGATCCGAGTTTAAGGCCGGTCACAGGCGTATGTTTCACTGTGTGTGCTCTGCATGTATCCTCACGCATATGCACATCCACACACACACACACACACACACACACACACACACACACACACACATCAGCCATCGAGACCGACTACAGACAATTATTGCGAAAGGAACACACGGATCAAGTCACATTTATTTTTGTAATTACAATGATCTTCTTCGGACGCAGCGGCAACGAAATGCATCGGCCGATTTGATTGGGATGTCTCTTGCAAACGGAATTCGTCAACGGAAATGAATTGAAAATTTGGAATTTTCGAAGAATGAATTAAAAAGTTATTATTTGTTGAAGATGGGAATCTAAATTGCGTTTTTAGTCATTTTTGGAGAAATCCAAATGAGAAAAGAAGTCGAAATTTCGAGGAAATTTTATTAGCTGTCGTTTCAAAATACATCATTTTTTCAAGGTTTTTTGGACTTCGTCAGGCTCTTCTTCGAATTTTTCTTCCGGCTCTACTTTTGTAAAATAATCGAAATGAAAATAGAACAAAAAGTGTGTGCATCCCCCATACAGACAGTCTATTGGGTAGATTTTTAAGCTGTTCTGATGTCAAAAAGATTCAAAACCATTTCAGATTCATTGGGAATGAATGCAAAATATTCGAAAGAAATCTCTAGCAAAGAATCGCATTCAAAGAAGAATGATTACTATAAGGGAAATGCTAAAAGCGGGCGATAAAATTAAGAAAATAAATTGGCTATTGCGCAAAAACATGAGAAGAACGAAGAACGTTGAGTCTAAGTAGAATAAGTGCATCATGCAACATAATGAGATTGGAATAGTTGGGCATTCTCTTGTTTTGGACGCGGTCGCGCGCGCGCCGTTCATTGTGTACACGGATCATTTGAGCGAGTGTATCATGTGATGCGAATGATGCATCTCTCATCGAAAAATTGTGTGCAGAGCACCACACTGTGGCATATACACAGCGGAACAACGCCGATTTCTTCTAGTCGAGCGCGCGAACAAGCGAACAGCAACGGCAACGACCACGACGACGCATTTTCTGAGAGTGTTGGCCAGATCGCTTTTTAAATGCCTCTCACTTTCATACGCATGCACTTAATATATTCTCTGCATTTGGCGTTGTGCTGTTTATTTATTTTTATTTCAGTTGTTGTTTTGTCTTTCGTTAATGGGTTCCATTATTTTCGTTTTTATTTGCTGTTCGTGCTCCTACTGAAGTACATTTAAATGTGAATTCAATTGATCCGTCTGCTCTCTGAACGCTGTTTCTCACTCTCTATATATGAGTGTGTGTGTGACGCTATCTCCTTCTGCGTCTCGTTTTTCGAATGCATTTTCTTCGTTCAATCTGAATTACATGAGTATGTTTCATTTTGAATTGCATATTTAAATCTGATTTCAGAAAATGAGTTACCGTTGATCAGGATCTTACATTTTACCAATGCAAACCAATGGCAAAAATAGGCTAAAGCTTTTCTTCCTGTCTCTTTCTCTCTCTCTCTCTCTCTCTCTCTGTCTCTCTCACTGCCTCATTTGCGTTCGGTGCGAAAAATTGCCATTGAAAGTGAACAATCAGCAAAAAACCGCTCAATTTACCGAATGAATCAGCCGAAAAAAAAATACCGCACCAAATATGTAAATACACACAAACTCGATATCGCATCGTATGCACGATGCATGGTCTTACTCAGTTCTCTTTTTTTTCTCCGCCACTCTCACTGCCTTCCATTCGTTCGTTTTAATTTTTAAGTGCTCGTGTCTCATTTTGTGGTGCGATTGTCTGAACCGTTTTATGTACAGAACATACACGACGTCAGAAATAAGTGAAAAAAACAACACACTAGCAAAACTTAGAGTGTGTGCACGTACAGAGTCGTACTGTGTGTGTCTCTTGCATTTTGCCGCTCTCCGGTTTGGGTTCTGGTCGAGAAATTCATACGATGGCATTTTGCATATCGCCACACACTGTAATTCGATAAATTAGCCAAAATCAACTGGAAGTTGAAACGTAAAATGCAAATAAAACGTTCAAATGTAAATAAATAGAACTGAGAAAGAGAGGGAGCGAACCATTGAGTTTATTTTCGAGCGAGTGAATCGAAAAGCGATAGAGTGTCAACGAAAATGGCAAACATTTTTCGAACGGAGAATGGTGGAAAGCGTGAACGCGGCGGAAAAAAGCGCTGAAAACGCAACTACGCCAAAATTTATTCAAATGAAACATAAACAAATTTCAAGTCAAAGTTTGTGTTTTTTTCTCTCGTTGGGTTGAAATTCCTCATTTAAACTTGACTCACACTGCTATACAGCCAAAGCAAGCACTCCGATTTGCGATCCTCGACTGAATGAAAAAAAAACCCTTTGCATTGCACTTTTGCACGTCATTTGCACGCTGCATATGTTTGCTTTTCGTCGAATTTAAATATTCAAGCGGCATGATTTCAACATGCTGCGTCGTATTTTTGTTGGACGAGAAGAGCTGAAAGCGTTTTGATTTGATGATAGAAAATTGACAATGAGCGAGATATTGATCACGGAATCAATTTGATGTTGTTCTGACACAATTTAAATGCACTTTTATCTGTCCAAAACCCGAAGTTTGCATGGAAAAGCCGCTTGGAATGCAGAATATGGAAAATGATCTTTTTAAAACTCAAACAAGATAAATTTCAAACAAGAAGCTAAAGTTTTTGCTTGAATAAAGGGTTGAGTTCCAATTATTTTTCTTCTCAGCAATAATAAATTTCGTTAAAGAAAATAAAAATGATGAATATTCTCGGCGAATTCAGTTGCAATCTTCAATCGCGCCCTCGCTGAAGAGAACGCTTCACACAGTCCAAAGTTCGAGTGAGAAATATGACAAATTACTATTATGAAATGCATAGCAAAGAAAATAAAACCGTTTGCCATAGAGAAAAAAAGTTATGTCATGAAAAATCGAGTGAAAAACGCGATCAGTAATTACGCGCCGTTTTTTTTTCATCATCAAAGCCATCAAGATCACTCATCACTGTTTTGACTACAGTCTGATTTTGATAACGTTTACAAAACGGCATCTTAGGCATCGCGCTAATATTTATTTGTGCGATGAATGAGAGCGACGACTAAAATGCCAAATGTTATCCTCAAAGGAATGCGCTCGCTGTGAACCTTGTTATAATCGAGTAAAAAGGATCACGATTTGCAACAGTGCGTCTATTTTTAGTCAATCGCGCGCCTCACACAAGTGGCAAACACAAATCTAACGGTTGACATCGGAGATTAGAGTACGATTTATTTGTACGGTTGCGATTTGATGTTTTTATTTGCAACTGGAACATTAATTGCCTCATAATTTTTCCTCATTCGCTTATGGAATACGTGGTTTTTCCATGAACGTAAATGAAAATCTTTGAAAATGCTAATTTAAAAAAATTAGATGAAGTGTCCTTGGTCTGAGATCAGTTCCGAGCAATCTGAGCTCATCAACTGTTCTGAGTGATTTGATTGATGATCGCATCATTTTTTTTAAATTTTATTTAAGCTATCAAACCTGAAACTAAACTTCTTCTCCAATTCTCCTTTATTCTCGATAAGAACGAACAAAAAACCTGGTGAAAGAACTTGCTTTTTCATGACGTATCAAAATAGCGTTTGCAAATTTTTTCAAAAAAAAAAAAACACTCATTTCGATGTAATGTGTCAGTTTAGCTTTCATATTCGATCATTGCAAATGGAAGGCTGTGAGTCAACTCACTAATACTAATCATGCTTGCATCAAATGCATTCGCTTCGAAGAAAATAGACGAGAGAAGTTACTATGCAAAGTCATTGAAAAATAAAAAGAAAAAAACGAAATCGGTTGGAACACTGCAGACGTCGATGAATAATCGATTCGCTAAAGCTCAAGTCGACGGATGAGCAAAGTTCATCGCTCAGACTTGATTCCAAATGGTGCGATTATCGCATTGAATCACATTAGAATTGGAAATGGACTTAAGTCGCACTGCATCGAATCAGGTTGATGTTTCAATATACCGTCATTTATTATTTTTCATCGATTTGAAGCGGAAACAAAACAAAAAAACGAAACCCGGCCAAGAACCAATATTTAAGTCATCCTCCATATCGTTATTGCATGCCATGTTTGGCATTCCGTAAAAATCACATCATTTGCTAGCACAAAATATTCAAAATAGTTTAACAGCAACACAAAAACCAAAAACTCGAAGAAAATGATTATTTGAAACCGCACCGAAACCAGTTCACCGCATCAGATGCAATAAAAAAAAATGCATACACAATGGATAAGAAGTCACTAAATTTTTGGTGAGGTCGGTGCCAATACGGTGTAACAATTCTAACCAACCAAACAGCAATCAGTGAAACGAAATGGACAAGAAAATTGACAAAAAAAACTCTCGAGAAGAAAAAAAAAACGGTTTCATTTCAACAAAAACAAAATTGAGACACAAACAACAAACGAAAACGAAACGAGTAGAACGAATAAAAAGAATTATGGAATGGAACTCAAAGGAAAATTTTTATGGTGCACAAACAAAAAAGAGTCAAATGGTGTTTAGTGTTAGTGTTTCTTATTTTTCCCTATCGGTATGGTTTTTTTAGATCTTAAGCCAATAACATTTAAAAAAAAATGGAAAGAAATTGATTTGAACTCACTATTTAATTGCGTGTTGAGTGACGACGACGATGGTGGTGATGAGTGGCAATCGACGGTGGAGGGGCGGTGTGTCACTATTTTCAATTCAGATGTAAATCACTGCAGCATTCCACTGGGTTTGCTGGTGGTAATTGTGTTCCATTGACAATTCGGTTTGTTATTGTTTTCATCCATTCTATGCCGTTTATCGACAATACACGGAGCCGGCATGCATGCACAGTGTCAATGACTAACAATTAAAACTACGGTGAATGTCGACAACAACAACAACCGAAACTGTGTGTTCCGATTTTTACTCCGCATCAAAAGCACGAAATGCGGGACGATAACTCAATTTGTCCATTTGGTTCATTCAAAGCACAAAACGGTTGTCTGTTTCTCCAACATACGGACATAAAACAGTATTTGTCCCGAGGGTTGTTTATTGACTAACAATACCAACAAAAATTGAACGGTTCAGGAATCAACGGATGAAAAAACTAAAAGCACACGATTTATGTGGCATCCAGAAGTGTTCATTTTTTCCCGCCCGCCTTTCTCGGAAAAAAAATTTTTCGGGAAAAAATTCTCTCGTTGCGCACTTTGTTACAAAGTTGAGTTGAAAAAGAAAAACAACCAACTAAAGACATAAAATGTATTTCACAACTAACCACTTTTAATTGACTTTTTACGCGCTATGCTTTCTCTCTCTCTCTTTCTCTCTCTAGCTCTCAAAAGCAGTTGTTGGTTGCGTTTGGTTTCTTTTTTGTTGCATCACTTACGATATAGTTCGTAATTTTTTTTCATTTTTTTTTAAAGAGTACACAAAAATTAATAACTCAACTTTTTGATCACTGTGTGTTTTGTTTTTTTTTTTTTTACAAAATTCACGTTGTTTATATGCAAATGGAACGTAAAAATGGCGTGCTGACTTTTGAACGTAAACCAACGCCGAAACTAAAAAAACCTGACCAAGATATAGAGAGTGTAAAATTTTTAAGTAAAAAAAACCCATTCAGCACTTGTTTTTTGGGGTCAATTTGCATTAAATTTCCAGCAAATGCATTTTACAGTCGCTCAATTTCGCTTCGAAGTTTGCTTGTTTGTTGTTTTGTTTTCTTGGGGTATTTGATTGATGTGTGTGTATTTGTATGTGTTTGTGAATTTTTGTGAGCGTTGGCGAAAATTGCACTTACGACGGTCCTCCCTAGTTGAATATTGGCAAGAGAGAAAAAATGTAACAGAAAATATGGATGAATATTATGGTATCGATTAAAATTTAAACGGAAAAAAACTTTTCTCAAAAACACATTCATACACATTCGATTGCACTTAAACGGTTGCCCCAAAAAAATTTCTTGTGACAAATTTTCTGTTCACTAAACTTTCGTGTCGATTCTTATCAAAACAAACGTCATCCCGAATTAGACCGTAAATCGTTTCGTGGAATTCCTTCGCCGTGTCATTATTCAAATTGCTGATGATTTAACAATTGCAATGATGAAACGAAAGAAGAAAAAAACACACACAACAGCAACGAAAGTCACACACAACCGTTTCACTTAGAATCGTGAGCCAACGGCACAACGACACAGAGACAACGAACAAAATGATGGGTCCAATCAAATATATGTGTATTATAAAATGAAAATTGGGTGGTATTGTGTGTGCGAAATGAAAACGAAAATCCAATAGAATGGAAAGAAGTAAAAGAAGAAGTAGCAAATGAAGAATTGTCTATATTTTTTTTTTCATCAAGTGCACTGGTGTGGTATGCCAATATTATATTAATCATTCGACGTCAAACCGATGAATGGGTTGTAACATATACTATATGATGTGTTTGAGTCGACAGCCAATCGCCACGCAAAACATTTGCAAATCGAAATTCGGCACTGTTTTTTTTTATCCAGTTTGACAATTAACGAAATGACGGCGGCAGCAACGGGCTACAAACGAAGAACTGCCACAGAAGACCTATGCCGACTAAAGGAATATCAACACACACCAAACACAACAAACACACGCACGCACGCACACATGCAGCAAACACAATATTGAACAACTAAACAGGAATAACAGAACGGCCTGCAAAATTAGCAAAAGTGACAGTGGAAAGTCACACAAAAAATCAGATGCGAATCGCGCGAATCACAAGAAAACCACCGAAACGACAGAAGAAGGAGGAAAAAAAACTAGAATAAAAGTGACTTGTGCACACAACCAACAAACAAACAAATAAAATAAGGCGAAGAAGAACGCGACACGGTGCGCGCGTACACACAGAATATCAGAACAAGAACGAACGTACACGACAGTGTACTGTGTTGTAATTTATAGGCGAACACCGAAACGAATAAATATATAAACAACTTGAAGTGCCGAAATTGAAATGCAATTTGGAAGTTAGACGCGCACGCCGCCGATTCATCGAGGACATTTATCGTTTTCATATGTACGATACAAACACACAAAGAGGATCTCTCTCACTCTCACTTCTTTCTCTATCTATCTCTTGCTACTCGGGCTAAAGAGGAAATATGCAAAGAGAAAAAAAAATTTGTAGCAAATAATGCACACAACGCATTGGGAAAAAAAACAACAACAACAACAATGAAATGAATTGAACTAAATAAGCGCACCGCGTTTTTTCGGTTTGTCTGGCGAACACTTTAAAGCAACTTGATAAACTAACCGGAGAACCCGCGCGCTTTTACTTGATAATGCTTTTTTGCGTTCTACCCATAGCGAGCAAGAGAGAGAACGGGCAGACATACATACAAACGAACACAAAACGAACAGAGAAATTCGGCCGGAGTGAGAGCGAGCGAGCGAGCAAGAGAGACAAAGATAGAAAGAGACTCGGGGAGAGAACACATAAAGAATGCCGTTCGTTTCTGTTGCATCCACATATTGAAACTGGATGGCGAATTTGTGTGTTGCGTTTAAAATGTGTTTTTTTTTATTTCACTTTGCCTTTTTTTTATATCTATACTATACATTTATAGATAGAGTGTAAGAGCGATTTCATTTCGAATGTAGAGGAGCGCTCATAAAGCGCATAGAAGCCGAAGCGGAGGTGGCAGCTCTCTTGCTCTCTCTCTCTTTTTCCCTCCTTTTCGTTCGCACACTGTGTTCCGTTGAAACAACAAGACTCCACAGCAGCCAAGCAATTGTCTCTTTCGTTCATTCGTCGATTTTTGTATTTGTTTCGCGAAACGCGCGCGTGAATTGCTGCTCCTGCTGCTTTTTTTTCGTTCGTTTGCTTGATTCTTTTTTTTTCCTTCAATTTCTGTGTGTATTACTGCTGCTGTTAGTGCCGATGGTTTTTTTTTCTCGATGATTTTGTCGGTGTGTAAATAAAAAAGCGAAAATGCATTGGTAGCCCGACACACAGTCGGCTCTAATGTATGGAGTGTGTGTACGTTGGTTCGGTTCAGTTCGGTTTCGATGTTCGGTGTGTTTGTGTGTGTGTGTGTGTGTATGTCAAAAGTCTTTATGGCCATTTATGAATACACATACTCCACAACCGCACAGTACAAATATCAAATCGAATAGACATGTGTAATCGACGAAATAGTTTGAACAAATGTGCATTTCGTGTGACAACGACAACGCCAACGACGACGACAATGACGATGTCGGGTTGAGCGCACAAGAATGTGTGTTTCGACTCGTTGTGTGTCTCTTCCACCGCACGAAGAATGTATTTGTTTCCAACTGAAATCGCATTTTGGACACACCACAATCCAAAGTTCACAGGCAACCAAGAATGGGAAAAAAACAACAGCAACAACACATGCCGAAAAACCGAATCGGTCAATCGTCAATTGCATTTTAATGTTGAATTAAAAACTTGCTCGTTTTTTGTGGGATGTGCGAAAATAGTCGAGGCGTAAAATCAAATCTTCATTCATGATTTTTGGCCCATAAATGATCGGAATCGATATCGAATCGCCGGCGATGTTGTTTACGACGCCGCAGTCATCGTCGTCGTTATCGTTGTTGTTGTCGATGGCAATTTCGATTCGGGGCGCACAGATTGCATAACCAGTCATATCAAAGACTCAATCGATTCAAATGTATACGCTTGGTCGCACAAAAGCGCACATCTCTTTCATATCTGCCGACACAATCGTCATCGTCCTTTTTCGTTTCATGGAAAGTCACATTTGCACAAGGACCATGACGGCGACGACACCAGAAGATTCCGCGTTGTGTGTTTCATGCCGTTTTCGCACATCTCCTGTCTCACCCTCACTCTCTCTCTCTCTCTCTCTCTCTCTCTCCGTCTCTCTCTCCCTCTCTCTCATCAATAGAATGCAAAATGCCGAAGCTGAAGAAAACAAGAATGCGATGCACAAATTATGTGTGAAAAAAAAGCGAAGAAGAAATGTGTGCCTGAAAATTGGTAGTCACGCGAATTTTCGGTGCGCATTGAAATTAAGTAGCACGTGCTGATATATGTTCAACGGGGCAATTTACATCGGTAATACACAGAGTCCGTGTGTACGCCGTGGCTGTCGGGTTTTCGATTGTTTGCTCTATACCCTGAACTCTACTCTTGGTATACACTTTGTGTGCTCGCGCGCGCATTCATACGCTGGGGCCATGATTCGAAAGAACTGTTTCTCACTCGTTTCGTGTCTTACCAATTGTACGGTAGATTTCATTGTTTCCTTTTATGCTCACTTCACCTCGCTTTTGGCGATATTCTGCTTGTGCTGTTGCTGTTCTTATTATTGTTTTATTATCGCCTCTCTGCTCATTCTTGTTGTGGTTTGCGCGATATTTATACTCTCGTATGTGTCTGGATGTGCGTATTGTTTCGCATTTCAAATGAAGTGGAAAGTGCTTTAGCGGTCGTTTGATCTTCAACCATGAACACACATTCGATTAACTCAACATTGGTTCGCATTTCATTTCGAGCAAAAGTCGCTTGGAATTTACGCTTGAAATCACGTCCAAATTCGAATGATGCCGTGCATTTTTGTTGTTTTTGTTTGGTATGTGAGTGTTGCATTGGTTCTCGGGAGGCTTGTCAGTGTTGTTCACAATTTGACCGTAAAGAGCTCACGAATAATTAGTCATCGACGGTCGATGTTTTTTTTTCTCTCTCGAAATTTTTGTGCGATTTACTGGGTGTGCAATTCGTCATTTCGGTCTCTGTCTCTGTTCGTATGTGCTTTGGAGCCTGTGTGGAACCTCAATTATGCATGCATCTCATTCGATATGTGCTTGTGCGTACAATTTCTATGGATAAATTAATATTTTTGCACCGTATACAATTTTGATAGCACAACCGATTTCCTATCTAAACATAGAACAAGTCAGCATTGAAGTATTTGTATTTGGGCTCGCGATCCACGAGCCAGCGACCAGACTGAACGAACAAACGGGAGGGAGACACATCGTTTTGATCCCTTTTTGCACATTTGCATCGCATCATTGGCATTAGCATCAGTTTCGTACCATTTGAATATGCGAACCAATTTGGATTCGCATGTTGTTGCTGATTTTTTTTTCTCTCGTCTTCTTCTCATTCACTCATTCGTTCGTTATGTCGATTGCACTGTGTTTTTTTATTATTTAAATACTCTCGTTGGCAGTTTTTCGCGTTGCCATCATTCATTTGTGTTGTTTCGTTGTTTGCCTCTTTTTTCGTTCTTGTTGCTAAATGTTTCAATTTTGTTGTTATTGGTTTGGTGTGTGAGCCATGGCATCTGGTTCGCTTGCACTCTGTTAATGCAAACACACAAAATTCACTTCTCTCTCTCTCTATCGCATATCTCTCGTTTTCGTACGCTTTCGCATCTCTCTCCATATGCACATTGAAATATATACACAGGACACGTGATATATATATATATATATATAAATCTTTATAGGTATACCAAATACATAAAATCGACTCTCTCATACTCTTTTCTCTGTTGTCGCGCGAGCCGTTTGGAGAAAGAGAGTGAGTGTTTGGCGGACGATGTGTTGTTGTTTTTCGGTTTTGGTTTTTATTTCTGTTCTGAACACTGCGTGTGTGTGTGTGATTCGGGCATTTAGTTGTTTTCGCGTGCAATTTTTCGTGTTCGAAAACAAAACCATTTTGCACAAATGTGTGTATAATATTTTATTGCGTCGCGCAACGAGTAAACCGAACGAAGAAGATAAATTGTTGTTGGCGGTATTGATCTCTCTTTCACTCACTTGGTCTCATTCGGTGTGTGCCTCCTTTACTGTTGGTAATGTGTGTAACGCACATACCGTGTGCGTGCGTGTATTGGAGTGATGAGCCGTGTGCCGGCTCAAGCTACCACATAGACAAACCTTCGGCATTTATCTAAATGAACGTTCTGTAAATCAATGCGATAAAATTGAAAAAAAAAAATATATATATACATACATAACGAACGCAACTCGCTGTTGAACAAAAAATTGGCTAGTAGAAAAGAGCGACAGAGGGGGAGAGAGAGAGAGAGAGAGAGAGAGAGAGAGAGCGTGAAACGAAATTCGCAAACTGCAATGGCTTGTACTTCTATTTTATCTGTTTGAAACGAACGAACACAAAATATGTACATTTTTAATACTGATATACCAGTGGGCCTCATCGGCATACACGTATAGCTGTAAATCATGAAAAATCCTTTTGAATGGAATAGGTAAACGACTGATAGCTCCTCTCGACTCATATACATGCATATTTGTATGCGAAAAACCGATCGGGAAGAAGACAGATCCAAATTCTCTAATGGATTCGATCCGAGGCACGCTCGATTCGGCTTGACGCTGATTTTATATGCAGATGTGTTCACTTCACTCTTATAAATAGACATCTTTCAGTTTGGATCCAATTTTTTTCCTTTTCCTCCACAGCGGATTTTTGCGGCTGGCTCTCAAACACTCAATGCTGTCGACAGTGAAAAAGAACTGAACACTTTTTTTTGTTCGTCATGCATCTGCAATAAGTTCACACAGAGTCTTTGCATGGAGCTGCCTTTTTCTTCTTTATCTCTATCACCCTCTCTCGCGTAGTTGATGTTCTTTTTACTTCCATCGACACAGACACAGACACACACACACACACGTCTTTGTCTCAGTGTTCTCTTTTAATATAGTCTTCGTTTGCTTTTAATATATTGAATGCTGAAGAGACCTCACGTGGAAAGAACGGGTTTTTATCTTATTTTATTGCCCGTTTTCTTTTCTAGCAAGCACTTCAAAATGATTTTAGCGCGCAAAAGATATACCCGCCAAACTCTTCTCGCTGTGTGTATTCGATGAACACAAAATTGTTCGATTTCTTTTTCCGTCTTTGCAACGATGAAATAGAAGAAATGAACCACAGAAGCTTTACGTCGAGAAGAAATGAAACCAACGCAAATGATTTGCGTAAGTCAATATCTGCCATAAGTGATCAAAGTCGAAGAATTGCTGCCAAATCCCATTTCCAATCAGTTTTTCCCGATCGTGCGCGCCTTGATCGAAAACGAACGCCGAGAGCCAAGAGAAGAAGAAGAAGAAGAAGAAGAAGAAGAGAGAGAGAGTGAGTATGCAAGAGACCAACGTGGAACGACACAAGCTTTTTGTAAACTGTTGCCGACCGAGCACGCTGGCATACTCGTAACGATGATGATGATCACAACACACAGCGAATTCAATTGCAATGCCTTCGATTAAACGACGTTATTAATAGCCAAAGCATAAGAAGAGCACCAGACGATAAATGCATTGCGATTAGGCCCAACCCAATCCAATCTGGATAAAATAATGATAGATCTTTCATGTCGCGATCGTGCTCCTGTATGCATTTCTTTTTCGTTTTTTTCGCTGTCCATTTCCACTATGGATGCACCTAAAGACGCAATTGTAACTTTGCCAATCGGTGCACTACACCGATGACTCTCGATGCAATTGCCCCGTTGGCCAACTCCAAGTGGCCACGGCTTATTGCGTATACAATAAATCAATGTGAACGAATTTATTTCCAACAAATCTTCTCGATACATTGAAAATGCATCGATTGAGTTGACACTGTAGTCGAGCGTTTCGATAAGGTTCGACGTTCTGTTTTTTTTTTCCTTTCTTTCCACATACACTTAATTACACCGAGTATCTGGCCGCTTTGACCCAACAACGTCTCTCTTTTCCCTAATAAATAGACAACTCAACCAAACTACTATCCACTAAAAACACAACACACAACAGCACAAAAACGTTTGCTCCATTTATTGAACGAGCTATTAGCGCATAGTCTCAATATTTTTCATTTGATTGTTTATCGGTGGTGAGTCAACTCTCTGACTCTAACATGCTCTATTAACTAGCGTCATTTGGTATTTTTACACATATATTTTCAATCGGAATTGACGACGACGATGATGACGACGACGACATCGACTGATTGTGCACACATTTCGATGGCTAGAAATTATTTCAATCAAACGAAACAGAAATTGCCAATTTCATATCGTGACTTTTAAATTATTACGGCAATGGCGCTAAGGGAATTGATTTCGATGATTTTTATGCAACATCGCTGCCGATACTTTTTTGTGCGAGTCTTTGAATTTATGAATTTGAGGCAAACAAATTCGACAAATCTAATAAGACGGAGTTTTTCTGACTTAAATTCTCGAATCCTTTGTGAATTGGCTTTTGACAGAAGGTTTTTTAGTTTTTGATGAACTTTTCCACTTTGTATGTGATTTTGAATGATGTGGCATGGGTTTTGTGGTGAAATCGATGCAAAAAAACAGGTTGATCGATGCAAGGGAACTGATTGACGCTGCCTTTTTTTCTTTCTTTTCCTTCGATGGAGTTTTTTTTTCATGCTAGTAGTAACTGGACATTTTTCATCCTTCTTAAATTCGTAATTTGTGTTAATTTCTTTGCGATTTTTTCACAAGCATTAAAAACATTGATTGCTTATTCGATATTTGCTGTCCCACATAGTTTTCCTAAAATTCTTTGCATTTCGAACCAAAATCAAAGCTCTACTTAAAAGTCACTCTCTGAAAGTTTTTGGCTTCAAATGTGTTCCAGTGAGGAGTATGGGTCCTTGCAACAGTGCTTTCTCCTTTTGAATTTGTCATTTAGCAAAAAACTGTACAGAAAAGTGTTCGTTTTTCGTGGAAATGAGCAGCAAATCTGGCGAATTGTGTACAAATCAGATTCAAAGGGTGTTCGTATCAAATATGTTTGCATTATATTTGATGTGTGTGTGCATCTCGTGCGGCTCAATTGAGGCTCTGTAAGTGCGAAATGATTCGGTGTCGGCAAATGTACACACCGTGACAGAAATAAACGGTAATAAATTGAAATGTGCGCAAGAGAAATATATAGGCAAGAACAAATTCCGAAAGAACGTTTAATAACGAAATACACACACGGAGCACGGAAAAAAGGTAAAACAAAACGCAAACCACAATCCAATGGACAATTTTTTTTCCTTCTCTCTTCTGATTGTGTGGCTGTCGTTCTCGCTATTGCTGCCGCTTTTTTCGGTGTGTTCGTTCGTAAGTGCGCGCGCTCACGCTCGTTCAAAGATCCACAGCAAATAAATTAAAACCGGTTCTCTTTTTCTTGAACGTAACATCACCCGATTATGGTGCTGTTCTGATTCGGGGACTTGCTAGTGATTTTTATTTTTCGTTTGTACGTTTGCCCGTTCGCAAAAAACCGATCTATATATCCATAGCATCGTCAAGCAAACATTGGCAGAGTGAGCGCATACATCGGTTGTGGCAGAAGAGATGGGAAATTCATCCGCAACTATCTGAACTATTTTAATTATTTAATTTTAACTCGTAGCCGGCATTTGGCTTGGTATTTACTTCTGATTATGGGTTTTCCTTTGGCCGCAAATGATTTTGTTTCACCTGGTTTTTTTTCTCTCTCTCTGGTTTTGTTGCGCTCCTTTTCCGCAATTATTTGCAGCAGTGCATGATGAGGAATACTTTGGCACCAAATACAAAAACCCATGTCGCCCGCACTCGTGCGCCGCTCACACTCTGGAAAATGCTCGAACTCGAACGATTCATTTTGATCGTCCTCTCATTCTTTCTCACTCACTCACTCTCTTTCATGTTTTGTATGGAAGTGTCGTCGTTGTTGCCATTTTTATCATCATTTACTAATTTTGTGAGATTTGAATGCAACCACGTCGTCAGATGAGCGAACCGAGTGTATAATAATCATTGCGCTTGATTTCACTATCGTCAACGAAACGAAAATAGCAACAACAACACCAATAAATGCGAAATCTATTGGGTTTCGTATCAAAGGGCATACAGCTTATCGATGCAT